AACTTGTGTTTTTCCAAAGTGATGAAGCTTTTGCATCTCATTGTACTAACTTAAATTGCATATCACGGCAGACATCTCAAAATACATAGTCTTCTGGGGGCTAAGCACATATTAATACATTTTGGTAGAGAGGAATATAGGACTACTGTCATATAGGTTATGTTATCGGGCATCCTTCTAATTCCCTTGAACAACCAAGATTGAACTTTTGAACTCTTTATAATTTCTATTATCTAGTCCAGTTAAAGTCCAGGGGAGGAAGCCCCATCATAGTAAAGAGGATACTAATGTGATGTGTGTAGTTCTTCATAGCCTCTTCATTTTGCTCTCAAAGTGCACGGAATTGATGGATTTTTAACAGAATGTAGAAAAAATTTCTCCCGGGGGGGCATGCCCCCGGACCCCCCTAAAGGGGCTGTGTTCCCCTTGGGGCTAAGCCCCCCTTGTTCTTCAAACCTAGTGACGCCCCTGGTGTTGGCCCATATAGAATGGGGCGCCATAAGCATTTGGACATTCAAGTGTTATGCTTGACTTCTCTATTTCAGAACCCAAAAGCGAAAATGAGGCAGATGGTAAGAGTTGAGATGGTGACCAAAGTCCAGGAGCAATACGAGGCAAGCAGTGACTAGGTGAGTTTCTGAGTAAAGCAGAGATGGAGATGGCCAGTTAAGGGGCTACTTTGGGGGAATGGAGGAACTTGTGGAACAAAGCTGGACAAGGGGCTCATCAGCTCGCCTTCTGGAGGCACTGGTGATGAGAAATAATGGATTAAGCAGGAGAAATAAACACACACGCACGCACGCGCACACACACACACACACACACACAAAAACACACACACACACACACACACAAACACACACACACACACACACACACACACACACACACACACACACTTTATTCTCACAAAGGTCACGGACATGCTGGCACACAGGGCACTCATAGACAAACAACCATTCGCACCCACAATTACACCTAGGGACAATTTGGAGTGCCCAATCAACCTGCCAATCAACCTTGGAATGTGGGAGGGAACTGGAGTACCCGAAGAAACCCCACACAGGCACGGGGAGAACATGGAAATCCTACACAGTAAGGCCGGAGCCGGAATTGAATCCTGCCCCTCTGTATTGTGAGACCCAAGTGCTAACCGGTCATTACCGTACCGCCTCATTTCAAACCAAATGTATAAATTTTTTTGCCAATCAAAATCATCTCATTTCAAAGCTGGCAAAGTGTAGAGTGTGAACCAGGTTTTTTTAGATATGAAGGAGCTACAATTGAATACTTTGGAATTAGTTTTTCTTGATTTAAACACACACACACACACACACACACACACACACACACACACACACACACACACACACACACCTCCAACCCCAGTATGACCACAGTCATTACTCATGGATTTAACTTGTTGCGGCTATTTTAGGGCCTGTTTATGCACCCACACCAACAAACAAGCATGAGACACACAAATCCGTCAGTGACAAGCAGCAAGACAGGTGGGGGCATGTTTCCGTCAGTTATGGACTGGGAGGTCCTTCAGTGCTGAACCTGGTTCGTGATGATTACACTGATGGACGAAAACCCACTTCCATTAGTGCTTAGTTTGACTTTTTTTTTAAAATTTGTCGTCAGTTGACATTCGTCACCAGAATTGGCGTCCATCAGTGACGGACTGTCAGTACTGACGGAATACCCACTTCTGGTGCTTTGTATTTATCACATCTATATCGCTTTTAAGCACATACACCCATCTACTGCCCGCTGCTTTCTTACCCCAGGTTAAGTTTGTCAGGATAAACGTGTTGTTGTCTTTTAGCGAAGGCATCTCATCATCACTCCCATCGACCCATTGCCTTGCTTTGGATGAGGTTATAGCTTTGCTGTATGTTGCACATCAAATGATAACAGTAGTCAACATTGGTGAGAATCTGATCATCACTTTCCTCACCACATATGTATTCACTTAAAAATTTGGCGCTGCGCAGACG